GCTGGGCCAACTGTCGCACCCCGGCCGGGGCCGAAGAGGAGGCGGCAACGTCCTCAGCACTGTCCTGCTGGGGTTAGGCCTTAGGGCAATCTGTGGCCGGGTGGGGCCCAAGGCACAGATTGCACTGATGCGAGTGCTTGTCCTTGCACTTGCTCTGCGGCTTCTTGCTCCCGCATTTGCCTTTGTTGTAGTCTTCGTAGATGACAGCACCGCGGCGGTTCTTGACGAAGATGCCCCCCCTTCTTCACCGAGAGGTCCTCCCCGTCGCACTTCTTCTTGCCGCTCTTGGCCTTCTTGGGCGGCGGCTCGTCTTCGCCGTGCCGTCACGAGCTCTCGGGTCCAGTAGTTCCCGTCTTTGACCGCAGCTGCAAAGGGCGAGCGGCCGTGTAGCCGTGCTCTGGGCGATCGTGGAGAACTCGGCGAATCCTCTCCAAGTGCTCGCACCTGAGTCGGTTCTCCGCCCTATAGACCAGCCACAGGCCTGATCGCCGAACTGGGTGACGAAGCTCCGGAGGGCCGTGCGGCACACTTTCCAGGCCTCGACCCATGCGTGGTAAGACGCGGGTCTTTCGGAGCAACCACAAGCCGTGGAGGCCGAACAGCGAACAGCGAGAAGTCCGCGTAGGGCACGGACCCCGCCGTGACCACTTTTGTGAGCGAAGCCAACTGGTCCGAAGTGGGGTCGGCTTCCGGGCTGGGATAGTCCCCAAATTTCGTCTTGTAATCCTGGTAGAGCTGCTGTATCTCCGACTGGCCCAGCGGGGTGACCTCGGCGTCCAAGGTAGGGTCCAGAGCTGAAGACAGCTTGAGCTTCCTTCTACCCCACGGCGAGGAGCCAGTGCTCGGGCCGGGCCCAGGAGCCGGCGAAGGTGTAGGAGGCCCAGCCCCACCAGGGGAGTCGGCTGAACTCCCATCTGCAGCAAAGCCACTCGCCGAACGGATTCCACCCGGGCTTTCTCCACAAGTGTAAGGTCAACGAGGGGCTCCAGGATTTCCTTCTCCATCCAAGGGCCTGACCTGGAGGCCGCCTGCCATAGTGTCCCAGGCGGGCCTAGGCAAGAGTCCATCTTGAAGAGCGGGTCCCTCGTGTAGCACCGGCCCGGGTGTGGACGCCCTCCTGGCTGCTCTCCTCC